GTTTCTTTCTGGCCACTTGTAGTATTTTTCCTTGAACAAATAGTTCTATAATTTGGCTATAATGATCCTTGGAGTTTTTGTTTTGAAATCCTTTCCTGAGGTGATTAGTGGATTCTTTCAATGCCTATTTTGCCCACTGGTTCCAAGATATCAGGGCAGTTTTCCTTGATAATTTCTTGAAAGATGCTATCCAGGTCCTTCTTCTGAGTATGGCTTTCAAGTAATACAATGATTCTGACATTGTCTCTCCTGAATCTATTTTCCAGGACAGCTATTTTCCCAATGAGGTATTTTACATTTTCTTCTATTTTTTTCATTTTTTAAAACTTGTTTGATTTGTTCTTGGATGTCCCATAGAGTCACTGGCTTCCACTTGCCCAATTCTAACTTTCGAGGAATTATTTTCCTCAGTTAGCTTTTATACATTTTTTTTTTGCATTTGGCCAACTATACTTTTCAAGAAGTTCTTTTCTTCAGTGGATTTTTATATCTCCTTTCCCATTTGACCAATTCTACTTTTTAAGCAGTTATTTTCTTTTTCTAAGCTGTTGACCATTTTTTCATAATTCTCTCATATCACTCTCATTTATTTTCCCAATTTTTCTTCTACTACTCTTATATTCTTCTTCTACTTCTCTTATATGATTTTTAAGCTCCTTTCTGAGATCTTCCATGAATTCTTTTTGAGCTTGAGACAACTTTCAACTTTTGTTTGGTGTTTTGCCCATAGGTGTTTTGACACTGTTGTCCTCTTCTGAATTTGGGTCTTGATTTTCCCTGTCACCTGGCTGTGCTGAGGCACATTGAGGATCCTGATGTTAGGGTGTGCCTGCTCCATCACAGTGGGGCTCATAATCTCCCACTGGTTTGCTGAGCTAGGCTTCCTGCTGGCTTACTGGGATGCTTCCTGTCACGGAATATGTTTTCCTTTTGCCCTTTCTTGGTGATCTTCTAAGTTTCTTGGGCTAAAAGACTGTTTCACTCCATTGCTGGTTCCACTGTTCCAGGCTTTGTTTTGGGGAGCCATTTTATGATAGTTTGGAGGTGATTTGCTGCTTTTTTCCACAGATGATATTTAAACAATTTTTTCTTTTAATCCTGAAAGTAATTGAGAATGAGACTAAAAAAAAGTTTTAAAAGTACTTAACATTCTTTAGGTTTGATTAAATATACAAATGAATTCCACCCTTCCATAAACAGGCTTTGATCATGTAGTAGTAATAAGTTCTCAAAACTGGATTAAGGATTATACATAAACAATTCCATTAATATTGTAAATAAAAATTTAAAATTATATTTGTTTATTTTTTTCCTGTTTTGAAGTTTCTGTCTGATAATAGCAAGAGACAGAAGGACCCATTTTATAAGTCAGGCCCTCATGGATCCTTTTTAAGATTCCTCCTTCAGTCTGTAGATGGTTGTCCATAATCATATACAAAGTTCAGGTGAAGATAGAAGGAACAAGTGAATTGTAAAAACTGAAATTGTCTGCACTTTCAGATGAACTATGGGTGGTCTTAATACATTAATTCTTAAATGATCTCTCTTTTATCTATTTTCTAGGTCAGTTATTTTTTCTATGGGATATTTCACATTTTCTTCTTTCATTCCTTTGAATTTTTATTTTTTTCTTGATGTCTTATGGAGTCATTAGCTTCCAATTGTGTAATTCTAATTTTTAAGGAATTCCTTTCTTCAGTGAGCTTTTGTACCTTTTTTTTTCCATTTTGCCAGTTCTCTTTTTTGAGGAGTTATTTTCGTCATTGCATCTTTGTATCACTTTCCCCCTTTTCCCTATTCTACTTTTTTTTAATATAAATTTATTTTAGTTTTCAATGTCTTACCCTATTCTACTTTTTAAGGAGTTATTTTCTTCAATATTTTTTGTACCTCTTTTATCAACTGTTAATTATAATTTTTCCCCTAACTCATCAATCAGTTTGAAGCCTTTTGGTTACCCTCAACCATGCTTAGCCCATATGCCAAGATGGTTTTACTAGGGTGTGACTGCTGCACATGCTACAGCTTCTTGGAGAAGCTTCTTGATAGCTGTGTGATAGACAGACAACAAAGGTGGATGAGCAGCACTGAAATGGGCTTAGCAATCCCTCACACTAGAGGTGCTAGTCTTCTATGAACACCCCATATAATGTCTACCTCAAACATGTGAAGACTTTCCCCAGGAGGAACGGGCAGATGAGAATAATTTGTTCCAGTGGCCATGAAGGTGGCTTTAAAGCAGGTGCTGTGGGACATTTAGGGCTTGGTCAGACACTGAAGATTCTAAATCCACTGCATCTTGGACCATCACCAGTTATCTTGATTTTTGTCTTTCCACTGGACTTCAATAACTCTGGAAGAGAAAGTGAGGCTGACAACTTTGTGCAATTCTGCCTCACTTAAATCCAATTCATGTGGAAGTCAAGACATCATCCTATGATATTACTGGTCCTCTTTGAAAATGAAGAATGAAAAATAATTGTCTTTTAATAATTTTCTTCCTTTGCTTTCATTTCTTTACTTAATTTTTCCTCTACCACTCCTATTTGATTTTGAAAATCATTTTTTAAGCTCTCCAAGTATTCTTGTTGGGCTTGTATCCAAATCACATTTTCCTTTGAGGCTGTGCTTGTAGCTATTTTGACTTCATTGTGCTATTAGTTTGTGTCTTACTCTTCCCTGTAAGCGGAATAGCTTTTTATGGTCAGGTTCTTTTTCATTTGTTCATTTTTTTCCACCCTATTTCTTGATTGGAATTTTATGTTACTGTTGTAGTCTGTTCCCTGTGTGTGTATAAGTAGGGGTAGGGGAGGGAAGGGGATCAGCAGTGTCTCAAGCTTCAGGATTTTTCACATTGCTGTTTTCACAGCCGTTTCTGAGGGTTTTGAAGTTTTTGGTGCTTCCAAAATGGTGCGATCTGAAGGGACATGTGCTCTTTTGGTCTGTACTCTGGTCCTTACCCAGAAAAGGCCCCTGACCCCTTGGGACTGCAATCAAAACTGCTCCTCAGAGTCACTGATCCCCTGAGACCTGAAGTGATGCTGCCTCTCAGGGCTTCCATTCTCTCTTGACAGAAAGTACTCTTCTCTACCTTGAACCCAGAAGTGGGTATAGACAATGGAGTTGCCAAATAGCATCTGTGTCCAATGCTAGCATAGGTGTACCCTGTAATCTCTTTCTGACTAGTTGCTAAGTCTTACCATCTCTGCCTTGAGAGCTGCCTTGAGAGCTCCTGAAGTTGCTGATGCTTCCATCACCCCTACCTAGTCCTACCATTGTTGTTTTATCCATGTGTGTTCCAGGCCATCCTCCTCCCTTATGTCACAAATCTCTCTAATCTCCTATGTTGTCTTGGGCTGGAAGAATGTCTCACTCTGATCTTCTGTTGAATCTGCAACTTCAGAATTCGATTTCAGCATTATTTTAAAGTTGTTTGAAGGGGAATGTTGGGAGAACTCAGCTGAGTGCTTTTTCTACTCTGCCATCTTGGCTATGTCCCCAGAAATTTTCCAAGCCTTATCCTTCTTGGAATGCAAGGGTAAGAGTGGCAATGGAAAACCTCAGTTTTAATCACATCTGATCTTCCAAAAATATCATTTTAAGAAATCTTGAAAAAAAAGGTTCTAAAACAAGTCCAGCTCTTGATTTAACATAACTGCCAAATTTATGCCATGGGAAAACAGAAAGGTAGCAAAGACATATTCTTTGGAGGGTGATATAAACATAATGGAAAATTGGTGGGGTTTTTTTTATTCTCCCTCTTAGTTACCTTTGAGTATTCAAGAAAGTGAAGGACTACATAATGCCAATTGGGTTTGTGCTTTAAGAAACACAACTCCAGTAAGATACAGATACATGAAGTCCTGGGGAGGGAGCATAAAACATATTATTCCTTTGTTTTTCAAATTTCATAAGATAACCAAAACTATTCTTGGGGTTGGAGAGACCTTTTTATTCTCAATTTTCCAGTATGTTCTTTTACTGGTCTTTATAATTTTTGTTACAAAAATAAGTTAAATCATGTTCTTATATTTGCTCTGATTATTCGTTTACACTTTGCCAATGGCATTAGTTTCATATAGGTCTTCATCACTCCATGTTATCATTCTTCCTTCAAACTGTTTACACTTATGTAGTGGTGTTTTGGGATAAGGGAAAGAGATATTCATAGTAAATTTTCCATCTCATGAGAGCTAGTCCTTATCAACACTAGTCTGGGAATTGGTTGTTTTTAGAATTAAGATCAGTTCACCATAAGTGCAATATACAAAACTTTAAGAGGGATTTAATGGTACAAAATTGCAGGCATGGGTGCTAGTTAAATGTCAGAATCAAAACATTTTGTAATGCCTTGCAAAATGTTTCACTGAAATATTTGTCTCAAAGGGATTTAACCCAATGAGTAAGCATACCTTGTCAAAACATCTTGTAACTGATTGGTTTCACTTGGCTAGTGTAAGTTAAATAAAATGAAAGACTGAAGACAAAAATCATTAAAACAAGTCCTCACTCTTTGACACTTCCAAGATGGCATAGAATTGGAGCTTTGTTGAGTGTAACAAGACAGAAAGTGAGCCTTCAGAGACAATTACTGAAACTATCCCCTTACACTTTTCCTTTAACATTTTTGTAGGTCCCTATTTGAAGGGGAACAGGGCAGTGGCAAATATTTTAGAAATGTCTGCAATATGCTTGTTAACGAATCTTTTAGAACAGAAGTGTGAAACGCATAGAAATGAGGCCATTAAATCACACCTAAGGATCCCTGTGGGCCACATACAGTCTTAGAATCTTATTAACATTATCCATGTGCTGAAGTGTTTTTATTTATTTTGCTAAATATTTCTCAATTACATTTTAATCTGGTTAGGGTAGCAGTTGGGAGTTTTGTGAGCTTCAGTGAGGTCTGTGTATTTGACACCTATGCTCTAGAGGAAACACAGCACTGGTATTGTTACTAGACGATTATCCAGAATACTGAGTAGTTAGGGAAAACATACCTGTTTTTCTGCAGATATTTATTGAGTGGACCAAGTTCAGCCATCTCCATGACTAACATCCAGGATTCAGCTTCACATATCCCAATCATTCGGACAATGTAAGGATTGTCTAGCTGTTGCATGACATTTGCTTCTCTTAATAACTCATCTTTAATTGCAGGGTCATTGGTCTCATTTTTGAGTATCTTTACAGCCACTAACTTTTCACCTCTGCAAAATGAATTCAAACATACATAATACACACATACATACATGTATACTTTTAGATATTCTTATGAGATATATTTCCTAATAATTATATAAATAGTTATATAAAACTATCTATCTCTCTGTTATTGAAGGAAAGTAAGTTATCCTTTGAAATAATGATCAATTGGTATCTTCCTCAAATTTTTTCCTGCTGCTTCTCTTTTCATTTCAACCCTCAACTGGGGAAAGCAAGGTAGAGGCTAAATCTCCAGAGAAAAGTTGGAATTAAACAATACTTCTTAAAGAAATATGGGATTATTTTAACTTTCAGATGCATTGTATGTAAGACACAATCAGAAAATCTTAATGCTAGAAAGAACCAGAGTAGTTCCCTACTCTGTTTACATTTCAATGGTTCAAATTTAAATAGGCTTTTTGCAATTTGGAACACGTTTTTCCCTAATTCGTAGCAATCCACAAATACTGATTTAACTTATAACACATCTGGAGTACTATATATCTACAGTGAAAAACAGCAAAACAAATATAATACTATAAAGTCATGTTTTTCTTTTAAACATGATAAAATAAAATTACTCATATGAAAACACTTTAAAAACATACACAGCCTACAATATACTTAGTATAACTAATCTGGCTCTTAGCTTGACACATGTAGAAAAGAAAAGTGTGTTCCTTGGGCAATTATCGGTTCCTAATTGAACATATTGTAGACATTGGCTCAAAAGTACAATGATTCTGGAAAACTGGTGAACAAGTTTTTACTATTGCATTATGTTTTACTGTACTGTATCGTATCAGCTTTTTGGCTCTTTTAGATCTTCCCTTTGGAAAAACCTGAAAGTTAAGTAAGATGATCATGGCCTAAGGATAGGATCTTTTCATTTTAGATTCAGGAATATGCAAAGGAAAGGAGACAGCTTCAAATCAGTCTTGAACCACTAGACTGAAAAAGAGGATCATTGTGCATATGTGTGTGTGGGGTGAACTCATACTATGTTTGCCTATTTATATCTTTGAGTTTTAAATTCGCATACTCCTACTGAATTCAATTTTACTTGAATAAAAATTATGTAAGTCTAAAATGCTTTCAGCTTTCTTCCATGTGTTTCACTAAACATAGAGGTTTAATCACTGTGAAGTGATAAGGACTTGTGGGACTTTTATACCTAGCTCTAGTACAGTTTATATTCAACTATAAGTCTAAGTCTAGTCAACCAAATCAAATGTGAAGCATATTAACTCAGCCTATTTCTGAAGATTTCCCACTGCCTGCGAAGATCCATGTCACAAAGCCTGCTATGTAAACACTGTAAAGTATATATAACATTGTATACTAATGGTACCAGAAATTCATGCCAAAATAAAACATCCAACGGGGTTTAACCATACAGTGCTATCCTTTGCATTTACAGGTTTTATACTCACACACATGCACATAAACACACACATATACACACATATGTACACACACACATATATATTTACATGTATTTGATTAATAAATACTATAAAGACAGAAAATATATTTGAGAACATGACTGAAAACAGCAACTTACTTTTTCATCTGATAGCGACCCCTTTTAACAGTCCCAAAGTTACCAGAGCCAAGTTCTCCTTCTTCCAAAGTTAATAATGTTCTGTCCAGACGCACCTCTTTGGGTCTGATTTCTTCTGGATCTGCATAGGGGCTTTCATAGACTGCAGTATCCATTGGTAAGGCTTCCCTCTGCATATCTGCAAATCAATTAAACACGTTTTCATCAGCCCCACCCAGGAGATGAGTTTGCCTTTACAAATGCAACTGAGTAGACATACATTTTGCTCCTTTTTATTTTTTCAGTGTGGAACAAGTACCATTCTATACCAATATTAATGTTACTTTTTGTTTAGACTAGTCGTTATGGGAAATTGTGATAAACTTTTAGGCAATTAGGGCGGCATTTCAGATTTTGCTTCTATAGACTAAGTGGGTAGGACAAAAGATTTCATGGATCATCTAGTCCATCAGCTCCTGTGTGCCTCACTAGCATTAATGGGATAAGCAGTCCTGCTTTCAATTAATTTTCAATTAACCAATGAGAAATGAGAAAGATGAATTGTAAATTCAGGCTGCAATGTCCATTTCATCATTGATGAACTAGAAAATGCCATAATACAAATATCAAAACAAAAGAACAGTCTTTTATGTATATGTATATACATATATATGTATGTGTGTGTGTGTGTATATATATATATGTATGTATTATATATAGTTTTATATATATATATATATATGGTTATTTATATGTATACAGTTATAAATATAGCTATATAGTGAGGCAATTGGGGTTATGTGACTTGCCCAGAGTAACACAGCTAGGAAGTATTATGTGTCTGAGGCCAGATTTGAATTCAGGTCCTCCTGACTTCAAGGCTGTGCTCTATCCACTGCATCACCTAGCTGCCCAGACTATTTATATATTTTTTTTAAGGAATAAAGTATTTTTTATTTAAAATTTAGATCCAAACCTCACAATATATACCATATTAAATTCAGGATGAAATATAGACAGAAAAGGCCATAGTAGTACACAGAGAACGACAGAATAATATATTTCTCTAAAATATACAGAGGAGATACATTTAGTTATTAAACAAATAGAAGTAATTATAGGTAGATGTACTAGTTGGCTTAAAAATGAAAAACCTACACAGAAAAACAATAAAATAGAAATGAAAATCAATTGAGGAAAATATGGCAAATATACAGGTAAAAGTAGAACATCTAAGAATTTTTTAAAATTTTATTTATCCTTTTTGTTTTTATATAACAATCATTTCTGAATATTTCTCTGCTCTGCTTCCTTCAACCTGAGAATTAAACTTTCTTCTTGAAATAAACATAGGAAGTTAAGAAACATATGACAACACAGTTACAGTGTCTAGCAACGTCTACAAACTTCTAAATCCACAGTCAGCTCCCTCTCTGATGCTTCATTGTCTTTTCTGAGACCAAGATTTGTTTTAATAACTACTTCGAATTTAGTTGTCTCTTAGTGTACTATTTACGTTGTTGGGTTCAATCTATTCTCTTGGTAATATTGTTGTGATCAATCTGTATGTTGTTCTCTTGGCACTTTTCCTTCTGCAGGAGTTCATACAGATCTTTCTATGATTCTCTGAATACATTTGTCATTTCTTATTGCACAGTAACATTCCATTATGTTAATAAACCAGTTCAGCCAGTCCCCAACTGATGGGTACCAACTTTGTTTCCAGTTCTTTGCTATCACTACAAGTGCTGTTATTAATGGGGTTTTTTTTTGTATATATGAAGCCTTTCTTCTGTCTTTGACCTCCACTGGTATATGTTCAGCAGAAAGATTGGTGGGGTGGGCCCTCGGTCCAGCCACCGCCGCTCACGCCCTCCTGCCCCTCGGCTCTCCCCGCTGCGGCGAGGCCGGAGTCCCCACCAGCCAGACCTTGTCCCCCAGATGGAGGAAGGTCCCTCTGCAGACACTGACTCTGCACCAGCTGCAGCTCCAGCTCCAGACCCACCCCGGGCCCGGCTCCCTCCATCGGGGGGTCATCGAGGCGGGCCGGGAAGGAGCTGCGGAGGCCATCGGGCGCCCCTTCTCATCGTGCAGAGGAGGCAGCTGAGCGACCATTTATATTTTTGAAAGAACACTAGGAGACCAAACAGTAACTTATTGAATGGCCTGACATCAATGTAGCTTCTTAAAAGTGCCTTCACATCCTAAACTTTTATCAATATAAATTGTCTGTGGCTGACTCATAGTCTTCAATATCTTTGAATTGTGGTGTCCAGAACTTAATACAATACATGAGATATGTTCTGACCATGATGAAGAAGGGTTATCATTTCTTTGCTCCTTGTAACTATGACTCAATGTAGTTGAAGATCCCATTACAATGCCACCTCACACTGTTATTTTTTGTGAATATTGCAGTCAACTAAAATCCTTCAGGCATTTTTAGACAAACTGCTATCCTACCATGCCTTTCCTACCCTGTGCTTGTGGAACTGCTTCTTAAAAATCTAAGTATAATAGTATACATTATCCCTATTGAATTTTATCTTCTATTGAATTTATTCTTGAATTTAGATTCAGCCAACAGCTTTAGCATGTCTAGATCTATTTTTTTTCATTCTGACACCCTCAACCATTATGTTGCTATCCCTCCCATCTAGAAGGTCTCTGAAAAGAGTTGACCACTGACATAAGCCTTAATGAAAGCAAAATATTCTAAGAATTTGAGGCATGGAGCATACCTGTAGAAATGTGTGCACATAAGAGATGGAATGTCAACTTTGGAGAAAGCTAATGGGCCTATGTGGTTGGACTCTAGAGTGAATGAAGGGGAAAAATATGAAATACTATGAACCATATTGTGGAAGACTTTAATGTTAGTCTAAAAATTTTTATATTTGATCTGCAAGGCAATAGGATTTAGGTGCAGATAAGAAATATCTGATTAATTACATTTTTCACCTTTTAAAGATTATTTTCGCAGCAAAGTGAAAGCTAGATTGAAAAGGAACTAGAGGCAAGGATATCACTTGAGATGATATTGCAATAGTCCAGGCTAGAAGTTATGAGGCTGACCTAGGGACTGGTTTTGTGGGTGTGAGATATGTTGTGAAGATGGGATAAACAAGGTGTGGCAACTGATGGATGGGATTGTGGAGTGAAGATAAAGTCAAGAATAACTAGGATACAAACCTGAGGGCCTGGTAGAATAGTAGTATACTCAATAGGAATTAAAGTTTGAAGAAGGGACAGATTTGGAGGGTGAAGGTGATTCCATTTTTGACATGTTAGGTTTAGGATACAACTGTGACATCCAGGTGGAAGTGGAGATGGGCAGTCAGTGACGTGGGGCTGATTTGAGATACCCAAATGGATAGCAATGCCAAAAGAGTATAAAGAGAATGAAGAGGTGACAGTGAAGGTACAAAAACTACACTAAAGAGTGGGTTAAATGAACATAGTTTAAACATGTGATTTTACCTACCTAGTGCAGCTCCCAAAGTGGTACCACCTGTCCTCGGTAGCACATAAGGATTAAGTTCCACTGAACTCTCTGGCCGGTTAGCATTGGTAGGATATGACTGAAGCACAAAATGAAACATTTTAATATAGCTCATGAAGATACATTTGATCTGTTGTTTCTTTGCTTACTATAGCTTAATTTATGTAAAAAAGACAGACAAGAATTATAGGCAGACAGACAGAAATTAACTAAAATTTTATCTTCAGATAATTGCTTGGGCACATTTTGATTAAATAAAGCATATGGTATAGAAACAGAAATCAATGTAAATATTTTAAAGCCTTTCTTCTAATGTAATTAATTTCAAGAATTCCTACAGAACTCTCTTCTTGCGGACACTGAACTTACAAAATTTAGTGGCATTTTAGATGTTTCAGATACTGAAAATTCCTAAGGACTTTTTTCTCCTTTGGACCTAGGTTAAACATCAACAATAGTAAAAATAAATAAACAAACAAAGACTACCTTCCATCTTTGATCTACTTGCCTTTTTTCCTAGGAGATATTAGGATCAAAGATTTAGAATTGGAAAGGATGTTGAAGCCCACTTACTACAATTTTTTCCTTTTAAAGATGAAGGAAACTGAAACCCAGAAGGGTAAAGTGTCTTGCATATGGTGACACACCATGTTGTTGTTGTTTATCCTTCATTCTCAAAGAGGATACTGGGAAGATGATATCATGATTTGCAAGTGAATAGGATTTAAGTGAGGCAGGGCTGTGTAGTGTAGTCACCAGCCTCACTCTCTCCTCCTGAGCCATCTGGGTCCAGTGGCAAGATTTAGATCAGGATGACTGGAGATGGCCCCAGACGTACTGGGAGACCTTGGTCTTTTAAAGCTAAGGTCTTTCAAAGGTCTTAGTTTGTCTAAGGCAATGTCCATTCAGTGATTAAGGCTAGGTAAGAAATGAGGCAAAAATAGCTCATAGGAGGTGATTAATAAATGCTAATTGACTAATTCACCGACTGATGGGAGGTAATCACAGAGAAAAACATTCATTAGTATTAAGAAGGACCAGTAAAGGTTTGTTCTGAAAGGTGAGATTTTAAGCACGGGTGTGTTCATAAAGGAGCAGCTAGGTAGTGGATAGAGCACTGGGCCTGAAGTTAGGAAGCCCTGAGTTCAAATCTGGCCTTAGACACTGGACAAGCCACTTAACCCCTTTTGCCTCAGTCTCCTTATCTGGAAAATGAACTGAGAAGGAAATGGCAAACCGCTCCAGCATCTTTGCCAGGAAAACCCCAAATGTGGTCAAGAAGAGTCAGACATGACTGAAATGACTGAACAACAACAAAAGTGGTGGTAATTATCTCCTTTCCTTAATTTACACCCACGGTGTGAATACAAATTATGAAGAAGAGCAAGAAGGCCACAGTTGCTAGTTTGTAGGCTTTGGAGAGGTAGAGAGAGGCCAAAGTGGGACCGCTTGAAAAGCTGTCAGAGGAGAAATGGTCCTTAAAGACAATCCAGAAAAATCCCTCATTTTACTGAGAAAAGAGGCCTAGAGGGGAATGTCCTTGATCAAGGCAACACAAGGGTCAGTGCTAGGGCCAGGATAATGCCCAGCTTTCATCTCTCTTAACCACGAGGTACCTTCTGCTGTGGGCACCCAGGCCCAGCATGGAAATCAGCCAGGCATTTCATTTGGAATTTGGCAACAGATCCCAAACTGGCTGCCAGGAGAAACCCAAGGAGCCTAAAGCTAGTCAAGAGCTTGGCTTCATTGTGACAGAGGACATTAGCACCACCTGTAACTCAGTCCCAAATGGCTGATGCCCAGGACCTCAGTGGTCCAAAAGAAACTATTCTTTTCCTTCCTGACTATGGTCAAAGCCTGCTGGTCCCTACAGATTCTAGCATCCCAGAGCTGTTAAGGACATCAGGGGAATCCTGGTCTTCCTCCCACAATTAAGAATCCCTGTTTCAGCCTCCCCACAGGGACTCATTTCCCTTGACTCATCCACCTCCAGTGAAGGCTAGATCTGTGTGTGTGTGTGTGTGTGTGTGTGTGTGTGTGTGTGTGTGTGTCTGTGTGTGTGTGTGTGTCTGTGTGTGTGTGTGTGTGTGTGTGTGTGTGTGTGTGTGTGTGTGTGTGTATGTCTTTCTCTTTCTGTCTCTGTCTCTCTGTTACAGAACGTGGAACTGAAGTCAGGTTCTCTGACTCCATATCCAATGTTGTCTTCATTGTGCCACAAACATAATGGGGTTGCGTGAGTTGAGAGGAATGGAAAGAATGAGATGAAATCATGCTATGGTTGCACAGTGGATAGAATGCTGGGTCTATGGTCAGGAAGACCCAAGTTCAAATCTGGATGTAGACACTCACTAGCTGTGTAACTCTGGACAATTCATTCAACCTCTGTCTGCTTCAGTTTCCTCAACTCTAAAACAGGGATAACAATGTCACCTACCTCCCAGATTGTTGTGAGCATCAAGTTAGATAATGTCTGTAAAGTGCTTAGCATAGTGCCTAGCACATAGTAAACATTAGTAAATCCATCCATCCATCCATCATTCCTTCCTTCCTTCCTTCCTTCCTTCCTTCCTTCCTTCCTTCCTTCCTTCCTTCCTTCCTTCTTTCCTTCCTTCTATCTTTCCTTTCTTCTTTCCCTTCTCCCAACAATGGTGAAATGAAAATGAAGGTACCAAACCTGTATGACTGGGAACTTCTTTCTTACCTTAATTCTGCCATGTCTGAAAGATTATTTATTTATTTGTTTATTTATTTATTCATTCACTCACTCATTCATTCATTTATTTGTTTATTTGTTTGTTTGTTTGTTTACTTATTATGCCCACCAAAAAATTAAAGGAGAAGCTCCACTGAAGCTTTTTTGGCTTCCTATTACAGGTAACATATTAAAGGTAGAAAGGACAAGTTAATTCTAAAGGCTGTAAAGACTGTAGGTGATTCTTAACATTGTGGGAAAATTATTTTTAAGCCATCTCAAGTATAAATGCTGGACAAAATCACCAGTCCCATTCCTTTCTATGTAATAATTTAATTAATATAGGCCAGATTAAGCTGTCACATATGCCATAATGCCACAAACTGTACTATCTAATGAAATATTTTGGGAATGATTCTGCCAATAGGCAGGGTGTCTTTGGTTATCTCCCAAAAGGCTGCTGTTATTCTATCTTCTTTTAGTGTGATGTGGGGGAAGTTTTATGCTGAGGACTTGGATTGTTACAATGAGATTTTCCATTTAACTCCAATGGAAATGGAAAAACTTAATATTTTAAAATTTTCCAAAGACATCAGCAATACTGTAGATAGTGATGAAACAGAAATTATAACATTAACAAAAATTGCTCTAAATTTTAAAAAAACTTTCTTCCAATAACTGATCATTTTCTAATCTTAATCTCTCTCTGCCCAACTCCTAACTCTTCAGACTTTACCACCTCTTCTCCAGCTGCCTCTTTATTCTTTAGATTCTTTTGCCCCTGTAGCTTCCTCCACTGATCAGTGAGCCCTACTATGTGTCAGGCACTGTGTCAAGCATGAGGCATACAAAGAAAGGCAAAAGATAGCCTCTGCTCTCAAGGATCTAATGATCTGGAACTTTTATTTAGGGGAGTGGCCAGTCTCCCCAAATCACTTGTCTCCTGGCTATACTCCTGACTCTCTGGACTTTTTCACTTCCTCTCCAGCTGCCTTTTAATTCTGAAGGTGCTTCTATCCCTGTGGCCTTCTACTCTAAGTGGTGAGTTTTTGGCTGAACTTCCACTAAAGGAGGTGTGCAGGCCAGCTATGCTAATTTCCTTCCTGTGTTTGCTTCTGACTCTGGATTTTTCCATAATCCCTCTCCCATGCTTTTCAGTTCCATTTTATGTGTTGCCTTCCCCTATTGGAATATAAGCTCCTTGAGGCTGGCTCTCTTTTTACTTTTATTTGTATTGGTAGTACTAAACACCATGCCTGGCACATAGTAAGTACTTTAAAAACCTCGTTCTCTCACTCTCTCTCTCTCTCTCTGCCTTTCTATCTCCCTTCTCCCTCCCCCACCCCTTGTTCCTTTCTTTCCTTCCAGCCCTAGGAGGTATTAACATAAAGAAAAGTCCTTTATAATTTTTGAAGTCAAGACTATCCACTAAAAAAAAGAATTCACATCTGTCTAAGGCACAAGTCCCAACCTTCCTGTTGTGAGGACCTACTCTTCTTCTTGAATGGTCACCCCAATCAAAACTGATTCAGAACAAATTTAAAATGATTTCATTTTTGTAGTTGTCATGGTTCAGATGTTTTTCAGTTGTGTCTGATTCTTTGTGACCCCGTTTGGTGTTTTCTTAACAAAGATGTTGGAATGGTTTGCCATTTCCTTCTACAGATCATTTTACGGAGGAGGAAACTGAGAAACAGAGGTTAAGTGACTTGCCCAGGATCACACTGCTAATAAGTTTCTGAAGACAGATTTGAACTCAGGTCCTCTTGACTTCAGATCCAGCAAGTTATCCATTAAGTCACATACCCACCTCACTTCTACCATAATTTTAAAAGCCTATCACAGATAATTCACATCTTAAAGGATGCTATATATTCAGTTCTTAGTGACTAAGCCTGTTTTTGTAACTATGTAATAGTGCTTATCGATTAGGGGCAAAGGAGAATTTTAACACAAAAGGTATTTTTTGTGATGTGTGAGTACGTGTACTGAAACATCTTGATTGGTTGGCTACTAGAAATAACCAAATTTCTAAAATAACTACCAACTCTTTACCCCTCTAGTACTGCATAGCAATAAAATAATAAAAGGGACATTTATAATAGGTTATGATAGCATTTTTCTTGATAACTCAACGAAGAGTTGACTGGACTATGTCATAAAACTTCTTTCATTTTTCCTAATGAGTACCAATCCATGCAGATAAATTAGTTGCTTTTTTTTGTAATCCATATTAACTGGGGAGATAGCCTTAATGAATAGACTGAATACATAGAGTATGAATCAGTTTGTGTGTAGGTCATGGCCCCAATGCCAGAAAAATTCACTGATATATTACTTAAAAATATACTATAGTTAAAGTTCATATCTCTTGTGCTGTCAGTAGGATAAAGAACGTACCTTTTAAAAAACAGTAAATTTCTTTTATATACTGAGAAGAGTATAATTGAGTCTCATGTATTCCTTAGTCTTATGTATCTTCAAGTACATATCTTAATTTCAAGAAACAAACTATGCTTTACAGAGTTATTTTGAGATTCAAATATACAAGGGATTGAAAAATCTCTAAGTGTTATGAAAATTGTTATTTAGAAATCACATCAAGGATAAGAGTAGAAACCATAAAGAATGACTCAAATAACTAGTCTTATAAGTAATTGGGGGGGGGAAGTTTGTTATAAGAAAAACAATCACAATAACTGGAATTTCTGCATGATTCACCTCAGAAATCAATCATATAGCAAAAAAAGAAAATCAAATATTAAAATTACTGCTTCTTGAATGACATTTTTTTCTATCTCACAGTCTCTACCTTCTTCAATATGCATTTTTAAAAGCTTCATAGATATGTTAAAAAAAACCATAAGATCTGCAGGGTAACTAGCTTTAATTATTTAGTATATTCTCTCACAAAGCATAGTGTTTCTTTTTAGAAAAAAAGAACATCTACATATCTATTACCATTATAATACTAAATTTGACTTTATCAATTAATACTGCAACTTTACCCCAAAGACATCATCTGGTTTCTGACAGGAATAATAATTTCCAATGTAACTACATGCATTTGAGTAATTACAACACTTAAAAATGATTAATTAAAGACATGAAATAAATCAAAGATGACATGAAAAGCACATCATATGCCTAAGATAAAGACAGCCAAGGAATTTGCTGCAATAGACAAAGACTACATCTGAATCACTGATAATAAGGATGATATCAGTGATGACAAAGAAGAATGAAAATTGAAAAGCAGACTGAATTAGTATCTCTACATTCAGAATGTTAGTAGACAATTATACATTTAACAGATGCAGACCAAACAGAACAAGGCACGGAGTTGAGTGTGGGTACAGCCTACCACTTATTCAGAAACCAGCAAACATGGTATGCATTAGGCACCTTTTTGTTGCCGGCCTTTGGAAAGGAGTATGATTTGATTCTTGAGATAATTCCACCCGTTGACCAACTCTAGAAACCATAATGTCAAAGAGGAACATTAAATTTTTCAAAAAACAATGGATACCTTCTATGACAGATGCACTTTTTAACTTCTTTTTTAGAAATATTTTTACCAATAAATCCTCTAACATTTTGCTAATAAGGTTCACTATGCAACATTTAATGAACATACCATTTTAAAATTTGTTCATCAAAAAGAACTTAAAACCTGCTTTCTTGAAAATGTTTCCTTAGAGGCTAAAGATCTATTGCATTAAAAAGTCGTTGTATTACACAGGATTATTAATTCATATAATTTAAACCAACATCAATTAAATGGGTAAAAAATAAATTTGGCTAGTTGTGAAGATTAATGGAGCTTTTAGTAGTAGTAATGAATAAGGTGGGGAAACCCACTCTCCATGCTCTTCCTACATCCTTTTTAAAAAAACTTACTGACTTCTATGATCTCTAGCAAAATAGAGTTTTCCCCCACAATTCCAGAGGCAGAGTCAGAAAAGTCACATAACTATGGGGATCAGCAGAAATGTCGTTGTCCTGGAATCCCTATCATTCTCTATTATACACTCTTTTAAAGCAATACTCTGAATCCTTCAGACTTGGGATGCTCTGCTACTATTATTATCAATTTGACTTTTTTAAAAAAATATATATTGTTGATTGGATATTTCCTAGACTTTGTTAACAATAAGTCTGGAGAACTTTCTGCCTGAATTTTTTGGGCAAACAGTCAAGTCAAAAAGGTCCAGAGACACTGACCATTCTAATTCTATTTCCATATAGGTAGATTATGCAGACTGAATTCCTTCATAGGAATTTTATTAATGTGTTCAATAATGTCATTAAACATGCTACTTAATATTAGTTGATCTTATACACACAAAAGAAAAAGTTAATTTAAATTTGCTGAGGCTTAAGTTAACAATTTCCAAATTTAATATAAGAAATGTTTTAAATTTAGCCTTAATCTTTACCAACTTTAAAGAATTTTTAAATGTACACTAACTAACAAACTCAGCCTCTAATACCATAGTTGAAAAAACATACAATACTTGTCTTGTTCAAAATAATGAACAAGTTGATTTTAAGACTGAAAACAATCTGTTGTTTGATATAATATAGTACTGTTTGGGAATCCCTATTAATAAAGTAATTTATTCTGAAATTTCAACGTGATCATCTTTAATGTTATACAAGATCACACTTTTCATTTGCTTATATGTATAAATGCTTGATCTTCACTGATCCTAATAACAACACTTACTTTGGGATGAGAGGCTGGGAGAGGTGGTCGTGACATCCCAAAGTCAATATTACCTATGAAGATAGGGAAGACAATTACTGTTCCAAAAAAAAATGGTTCCTGAATCCCAAATAATGGTTGCAAAATACACATTATCTGAAAAAACACATGCCCCATTTGTTAAAAACATTTTCCTCCAGATAGTATATCTTCTTATATTCTGCTATTTTTTTTTGCATCTATGTAACAAGTAATCAGTTTTAAAATATAAGGTTCAGGAAGTCATAGTTTCTTTTGGTCTTATGTATGATATATGTATGTATAGATATATGCATATAATACTTATTAGTATATAATATATATTACATAATTAAGATTTAATGTTTTCTTAAAGTAATTAAGATAAGTATGATCCCATAAAATTTATTTTTCAGAGATCGTATTTTTGTTTGCTAATATATCCAAAGAATTGATTTAATGTTACCATTTTCTGAGCCAATTTTCCGACATGGAACAGTAAGAACCCTTAAGAGTCCATCTGGTTTATAGGAATAATGCTCAACCAGCTGTAAATGAAGAAAAAGAGGATGGGTGAGTAAAGAAGAGGAACAGAATAAAGACTCCAATGGAGACATAATTAGTGTATATATATGTAGTGTATAAATCCCATTTGGTCACAATGTATAATCTTTGTGGTATATTGTTGTAGTCTCCTAGTGAGAAATTTATTTAAGATTTTTGCATCAATATTCATTAATAAAATTTGTGTATAATTTTCTTTCTCTATTTTTGTTATTCTTGGTTTATGTACCAGCACCATATTCATTTCATAAAAGGAATTTGTAGACTCCTTCTTTGCCTATTACAACAAATAATTTATTTAATATTAGAATTAGTTTTTAAATGTGTCACAGAATTCACTTGTAAATCCCTCTGGCCTTGATGTTTTTTTTTTCTTACAAAGTTTATTTATGGTCTGTTTAATTTCTTTTTCTAAAATAAATTTATTTAGATATTTTATTTCCTCTTCTGTTAATCCAGGCTGTTTATATTTTTCTAAGTATATTTCCATTTCACTTGAATTATTTAATTTATTGGCATATAATTGGGCAAAATTACACCTAATAATTGTTTTCTTTTCATCTCCATTAGTAGTAGATTCATCCTTTTCATCTTTGATATTAATAATTTTGTTTTTTTCTCTCTCTTTTAAATCATATTAACCAAAGGTTTATATATTTTGTGTGTTTTTTCATAAAACCAACTCCCAGTTTTATTTATTAATTCAGTTATTTTCTTACACTCAATTTTATTAATCTCACCTTTAATTTTTAGTATTTTCAATTTGGTGCTTTATTGGGGAATTTAAATTTATTTAATTCTAGGTTTATTTTTAGATCACATATCCAAATCATTGGTCTGTTCTTTTTTCTATTTTATTGATATAAGCATTTAGAGATAAAAATTTTCCTCTGATTACTGCTTTTGCTACATCTCCTAGATTTTGTATATTATCTCATTATTGTCATTCTCTTTTATAAAGTTATTTATTGTTTCTATGACTTGTACTTTAACCCAATCTTTAAGATTAGATTATTCAGTCTTCAATTAATTTCTAATCTGTTTCCATGGTTCCTCATTAAATAGCTTTTATTGCAGTGTAATCTAAAAAAAAGAGAGAGAGACATTTACTATTTCTGCTTTTCTGCACTTAACTATACAGTTTTTCTGCCCTAATATATGGCCAACTTTTGTAAAGGTATCATGAACCACTGAAAAAAGACATATTCTTTTCTATTCTCATTCAGTTCTCTCCAGATATCTATCATATCTAACTTATATAAAATTCTATTCATGTCCTTGACTTCTTTCTAATTTTTTTAATTTGAATTTATCTAGTTTTGAGAGGGGTAGGTTGAAGTCTCCCATTATTGTAGTTTTGCTATCTACTTCCATTCATGATTCATTTAGCTGTTCCTTTAAAAAAAATTGGATGCTATAGCATTAGTGTATATAGGTTTAGTAATGATATTATTTCATTAAGTATGGTAACTTTTGTCATAATGTAGTTTCACTTTTTACCTCTTTTAATTAAACATATTTTAACTTTAACTTTGTCTGAGATCATGACTGCTACCCCTCTTTTTTTTGCATCAGCTAAAGCATAACAAATTCTATTCTAGCCCTTTATTTTTGCTCTGTGTGTATTTCTCCTTTTTAAATGTGTTTCTTGTAAACAACATATTGTCAGAATTTGATTTTTGATCCATTCTGATGTTTTCATTTTATAGGTAAGTTCATCCCATTCACATTCAAAGTTAAAATGACTAGTTTTACATTTACCCCCTTCCTATTTTTTTTGTTCAAAACTTTCAGGTAGTCCAACAATTCTTATGTTGTCCCTCCTTGATCTGTTATCCGAGGCAATTGTTTTTCTAATGAGATGTTTTACATTCTCTTCTAGTTTTCATTCTTTTGATTATGGTATTTCTTGGTGTCTTGGGTTTTGTTTCTTTTTTTTTAAATAGGCAGTTGGGGTTAAATGACTTGCCCAGGGTCACACAGCTAGCAAGTGTCAAGTGTTTGGTCTGAGGCCGAATTTGAACTCAGGTCCTCCTGACTTCAGGGCCGTTGCTCTATCCACTGTGCCACCTAGCGGCCCCTTGATTCTAAAGTTTTAAGGAGTTATTTCTTCCATAAGTTTTTGGATCTCTTTTTCTAGTTCTTTGACTTTCTTTTCATAATTTTCATGATTTTCCTCAGTTACTCTTATTTTCCTTCCTAATTTTTCCTCAACCTCTCTTATTTGATTTTTAAAGTCATCCAATTTTAAAGCCTATCCAAGAACTCTTTTGGGGCTTGTAACTCTTTGACATTTTTCTTTGAAGTAGAAGTAGTTGTTTTAATTTCACTATCTTCTTCTAAGTCTGAACCCAGATCTTTTCTATCCCCATAGTAGCTATCTATGGTGGATTCTTTTGCTTTTGCTTACTCAATTTTTTTAGTTGTTTATTTCTTGGCTATTAACTTTTTCTTAGAGTCAGGCCATAGTCCTGAGATGTGGGAGATGTCTCAAGCTTCAGGTTTTTCATACTGTTGTTTTCTGAACTCTGTCTGAGGGCCTGACTTCAGGTACTCCTCTCCACTCCTGTACCTAGATCAAGAGTTCCTGGCAATGCTGTCACCACAAATGTTCTTACTCTCTGTAATTCCTCCCACGGTTACAAGCATCAACCCACCCTATGCCCTAGAACCAAAGCCAGGAACTCTGCTCTCCTGTCAGTGCCCACAGCCAGTAGGGCCCCACCCTTTCTTACTGCATTCACTGGGGTGTACACACTCTTCCTCATCCACAGCCACATACCAGACTGTGTCTGGTCAATGTATATCGGTCCCATGTACAGTCCCAGTGGAGGGCTCTGAAGTTTCCCCCAACCAGCTGCTTGACCCCCATACTGTCTGTAAAGTAAAGGTTCCTGAAGCTAAGGCTTCCTCCCAACTTAGCCACCCAGGCTTGTTGTTTGTTGAATCATCATATCTGCCCAGAGATATCTGTACTTCAATTAGGCCACCACCCCAGGAGGTTAGGTCTTCCCTATCATCCTCCCAAGTTGTCTTAGGCCAGATTACTGCTTTGCCTCAACCTTTAGTTATTTCTGCTGCTCAAAGTTCACTTTGGGGCATTATTTTAAATTATCTGTGGGGGAATTTGGAAGAGCTAGGAAATTTTCTGCCTTATTCTACCAACCTCCCAGAATCCTCTCCCTTCTTTTTTTAAAGGAACACTTCATTCTCCCTGACAACCTAGAGAGTGGCTTATTCCTTTCTTCTACGAAAAAGACCAGCCCTGAACTTGGAGCAGAGAAAATTTACCTCCAGTAGTTATACATAAACCACAGACTCTATGTTCATAGCTGAAAAATGTTCCTGCTGAATCCTTGCTGAAAATAAGATCCTCACCCCCTTTTATTTCTTCCTAGTAAATCTCTTAGAGAACTGATATGGCAAAAATTGCTTTGTTTTTAACTTTAAAAATAATTTGTAATCTGCTCAACAGTCCATCAATACACATCAGATTAAGCATCTTTTCAAATGTCACTGTTAAAATGCAGTCTGTCATTTATGTTATGGAAATGTAGATGGCTCACAATGTTAAATCTCTAAGCATAACTCATTTGTATATCACAAAATTTATAAACTATATTTTTTGACAAAGACAGCAGTGATAATTTTTATCCTAAATAAGTTCAATGATAATTAAGGGTCAGTAGGCTCAATTCTGCATGTGAGAGTCAAAATGAGTACAATTTAGTGTCAGCTACCTAAAGATTGTGTGATGAAACATTAGGCTGACACATCATCATTAAAATGCTAGTTACTTCTGCTTCATCAGATAGAAAACATCCTTTTGGGATAACAATAAATGTATAACTAGTAGTTCATTCACTGAAGTTCTACAGCAATGACTCAATGCTATGAAGTTATATTGGTTTTTAAAGGTGATGCCAGTCAAATGCAAGGTCTAGCAGGTTCTGTTAAATTAGAAAATTTGAGTATTGGTTTGGTAAAATACAATGTCTGTCACCTGGGAACAGCATAGCTTAAATTCATGAAGCTTGTCATCGAAGTGTGTGTGTGTGTGTGTGTGTGTGTGTGTGAGTGTGTGTGTGTGTGTAAACACATATATGTGTATATGTGTGTATACATATATGTACATATATGTGTGTGTTTGGCTAAAGCAAGTCATTAAACAATCTATTAAGGTAAAGAGCATGTGTGAAGTACCCATACAAATGAAACCACAGATTTTTTAAAAATATTGAAGTATAAGTTCTCACTGATGCATTAATCTTATTTATTCTTCAGGTAGACTACTGAAAAGACAGAATCATATATAAAAAAATCAGTTTTCCCAAGTGCAAATATTTTTATATTCTGAGAGTTTACTTTTACTATCTCTCACGGGACTAGTGTGAGAAAAGCACTTTGTAAACCTTACAGCGTTATATAAATGTGTTATTACTGACAGCAGCAAAATAATAATTAATGATGATTATAGTAAGAATACCTTACAGTCAGATTGCCTGGAACTTGTTTTGGAAAAGATTTCCTGGAGTTGTTTCCCCCAATTTTAGAAACATGGATAGACATGACATGAAGAATATTACGTGTTTTTATCTTGGTTGCAGAATGAAATTCAAAAGTTGGACGTGAACAAACTCCAATGAAACTTTTTTTTTGAAAATGAAAACTTTCACTCCAAAGAACTATTAAGTTATTCACAATTTATTTTCATCATTCTTTGAAAAAGGCTTTGGAAAAGGACCAAAATCAAGAGTGGAATTTCAGATGCTTCAAACATTTGTTGTCTCTCTGTGTAAATTAAGTATACTTTCAAGCTATAGATGGCAGCAGATTCCACAAATATGAATCTACTACAACAATTCAAAGTTTTTATCCACTACTTCCCAGAATGGTTTATTTTAATTATAAATGCCATGATACTCTTTTAGTACTATTCTGTTCTATATTTAACAAAAAAAAAATATTCAATTAATTTATATATTTATATATAATGTACTAATGTTATTTGGCTAATAAAAATATTTGTAAAGCATTTAGAACAGCGGTGAGTGCTTAATCAGTGTTTTTATTCCCTTTCTCCTTCTCCTTTCTTCTAGATTTAAGTCTATGAACCACTTCCCTCTCTTCATCTAACTCCAACATACACACATACACACTCTTCTCCATACTAAATATCCCTCCTTCCTAGGAACAGTTGGCAGAACTTAGGTTATCAATGAGGCCTGTTTAATCCCTCCTCATTTCTGACCTCACCTCATAGCTCCAGTCTCTATCCAGATCCTCAGGATTAGAATGGGCCTTAAAGATCATCCAGATTAACCTCTTAATTTTACAGACAAGGAAACTCAGATTCAGAAGGTAATAAAAGGTCATAAAATTAGTTCCAAGCATCCTAGGGTAAATCTGAAGAGGTACCACGTAACGGATATTTAGATCTGGAGATGGGAACTGGGTGTTGAATCCTAGCACTAACCAGATATTTGTTATTTGTTGTTGTTGTCAGTCAGTTGTTTCAGTTAAATCTGACTCTTCATGACTACATTTTGGGGTTTAGCAGTTTGCCGTTTCCTTCTCTAGGTCATTTTACAAATAACAAAATGAGGCAAACAGGGTTAAGTGACTTGTCCAGGATCACACATCTAGGAATTGTCTGAGGCCAGATTTGAAATTAGGAAGATGAGTCTTTCTGACTTCAGACCCAGCACTCTATCCACACACCCAGATATTGGTGTGCTGATGCCAAAATAGCCTGTTGGTGGGTCTGCTTACCTCCAGTTTCTTCCCTCTCCAATCCATTCTCCATTCAGCTACTAAAGTGACTCGCATATGTAGTAATTTCACTACCCCCTCTATTCAATAAACTCCAGTGGCTTCTGATTGCCTCCAGGAACAAATACAAAATGCTCTGGAATTTAAAGCCCTCCATAACCTGCCTCCTACATATTCTACATTATGCCATATTGGGCAGTAAGTTTGTATATTTGTGATTATATCTTTGACAACAGAATAAACTATAAGGTTTAACCATCACTCTCATTTTCTATTTCCTTGTAAAAATGAATCCAACTGTCTGTAGCTAAATGGAGATGGGATGCAAGGGATCGCTCCTTACAATTGAGTGAATGCCATTGGTGGGCATGGACCCATTTATAGAAATCCTAGAAATCCCCCAGTTCCCTTAAGTGAACTGGAGAATCCTGGGAGAAGAGTGAAATATAACTTACCTAGCCTGTCAGGCAGTGAAAATGATGGTAATTTGTGATATGTAGATGTACACACACACACACACACACACACACACACACACACACTTCTCTTTTTTTCTGAAAGCCAGTCAGAATCAAATTAAAAAAGTGATACCCCTTACTTTATAAGAGCTTATAATCTATTATCTCTTCCTTATGAATGAAGAAACTGAAATAGAAGGCATATAAATTTAAGTCACATGACATATAAGTAGCACATCAGACAACAGAATAAATACAGGATTTAATCATCACTCTTATTTCTGTGCAAGAGATTAAATGAGGTCTGATTTTAGCCAATGGGGTAACCATGTTACTTCATACCTGCCAAAGGGTATCAAACTTTTTTCCATCAGGGATAGAGAGTTTTCCTGTTTTATCTTTATCAATGCGATAATGGAGAACTTTTCCTTCGTGGAGTAAACAAAGAGCATACGATCCATTGTTGTCTCTTGCCCGTATTCTAAGAAAAACAAACAAACAAAAAGTCATACACACTCACAGTCACTATAATTGTCCTTGTTCAGGTTCTGGGAATGAATGAATAAACAAATGAATGATGAATATTCGGAATTTACATTTGTCAAACTCCAGGTCAGGTCCAGTGTTCCAATGTTCTCATAGGATCATAGATATACAGAGCTGGAACAGATCTCAGAGATTACCCAATCTACCCCCATTATTTTACAGAGGAGATAACTGAGGCCCAAATAGGTTAAGTGGCTTGTCCAAAGATACACAAGTAGAAAGTGGCAGCAGTGGAGTCAAGTAAGGTCTTCTGACTCCAAAGTCTCTACTCATTCCCTGTAACTACCCTAATTTTTTTCCCATCCATCCAAACCCCTAAATTTCACAAAATATAAAAACCATAGAACCAAAGAAAATTAGACATGATAAGGACTTTGAGATAATCTAGTTCTATTCTCTCATTCCACACAGAAGAAAACAGATTCACAAAGGGAAAAAAAATTCCCTCAGTGTGGATAATTCAAGAACTTTCCAAAATATTTTAATTAACAATGGGATTTCAATACTGTAAATTAATTATTTTATGTGTTTCAGGCAACTCAAGGATCTAATCTTCCTACTGATGGTTAATTTAAGATAGAAGGAGTAGGATACAAAAATAGCTAAATGTCTTCAAGTATCATGTCACTCTACTGAAGCGTGAAGAATGGTCACAAAGAACAGCATTCATGTCAGAAAGCAGTTAAATGTCAGGCTGATAGTTTGTAAAAAAAATTAAAAAAAAAAAGAAGAGTAAGACAGGCTGGTTTAATATGCAAAGACGAAATGATCACCTCCATCCTCTTTTTAATTTTTACCTGACTTACAACAAGAAAGATATTAATATCACTAATAAACACAATGGTATAGTGATTGATTTAGAGCCAGACAACCTGAAGAATTAAGTCAAGTGAGCTTAGGAAGTATTACCAGCAATAAGGATACTGGTGGTGATGGAATTCTAGCTGAGCTATTTAAAATCCTAAAAGACGATGTAGTCAAACTGCTTCCCTCAATATGTCAGCAAATTTGGAAAACTCAACAGTGGCTACTGGATTGGAAAAGATCAGTTTATATCCCAGTCCTAAAGAAGGGCAATGCCAAAGAGCTTTCAAATTGCCAAACAATTATGCTCATTTCACATGCTAGCAAGATTATGCTTAAGATTATGCAAGGTAGGTTGTAGCAATATATGAACCGAGAATTACCAAATGAGCAGAATGGTTTTCAAAGAGGCAGAGGAACCAGAGATAAAATGGCCAAACATTAGCTGGATTATGTAGAAGGCAAAGAAGTTCCAGGAAAAAAATCCACTTCTGCTTCATTCACTACACTAAAGCCTTTGACTTTGTGTGGATTACAACAAAATATGGCATATTCTCAAAGAGATGGGAGTACCATATCATCTTACTTGCCTCCTGAGGAACCTGTATGTGGGCCAAGAAATAACAATTAGAACCAAACACAGAACAATTAATTGGTTTAAGATTGGAAAAGGAGTACATCAAGGTTGTATACTGTCATCTTATTCATTTAATTTATATGCAGAGAACAGCATGTGAAATGCCAGGCTGTGTGAATAAAAAACCAAAATTAAGTTTACTAAGAGAAATATCCATTTCAGACATGTAGACAACACCACTCTGATAACAGTAAGTGAAGAGTAATTAAGAATATAGCTATACTAAATTTGCTTCCTAATACTTATTCCATCTTTGATACAGGTGAAGTTTGTATGTCTTGGTAATCTTATTTTCACTACTAAAAATCTGACATTCCAATTAAACAACTCTAATCTGCCTAACTAGCTATAACCATAATAGCTCAAATGCATGTATAACTTTAAAGGTCGCAAAGCACTTTCCTTACAATAACCATACTGATATGTGAGAAGATACAAAGGAAAAACAAAAATCAGCCTATTTCCTGAAGGAGTTTTTATTACTATGCAAATTTTGGAGATCAAAAAACTGAGGCTCCAGAGGTTGTTACTTGTTGATGGCCCTACAGCTAGTGTGTACCATCATATTCTCACCTGGATCTTCTGGGATCGAGTCCTTTGTATGTCTTAGGCAAATCATAGTACTTCTCTGAACTTCATAAAATAAGATGGAGATGACAAAATCTTGCTTCATTTTATCACAAAAACCAGTGATTTGAAGTTCTCTGAATAACGATAAGGAATGCCACACTAAATGAAGCGTGAGGGTGGACATTTCCTTCCCCTCCTCAGCTTATATAATCATAGAATGTAATCATACACGATGAAATTTTATGGTGTGAGATGTCTCTATCATGGTGATTCTCTTATGAGATGTTCAAGGCTTTGATACAGTCAAGAAGGAACTTCTCAATTGACTGAGCAAACTATCCATCCTTCTAGGGGCTTTAAATGGTTGAATGAATTTAATAGTTTGAAGTCTACTTTGAAGAAGCAGACTCTTTGCCCAGACCATAGGGTAACCAGAAAGAAAGAAGGGCAATTTGTATCTGTTGCCCTGCTTGGGTTCAACTGCATTGGAACAAGATGCCCTGCCCAGGATATACTCATCACTTCTAAACTCACCACCATGTCGCTAACAGAAGCCTTGATGACTCTACCTCTCTCAGCCTCCTCTTCTCTCTGATTGGGAGACTGGAGGGCAAAGCACCAAATTCCTTCCCATTCCTTCTTTTATGAAGGGCAAAAAATGGACACAGCGCTCTCCACTTTTCATCTACTGCCCTACCTGTTTTCAACTCCACAGATGAGATGTACCTGCCCCCAGCATCCCTTGATAGCCCAATCCCCTCTTTTTCCTTTCTCCTTTTGCGTACTGTTTTCCTCCTTAGATTATAAACTCATTGACAGCAAGAACTATCTTTCTTTTTATTAATCATATGCCCAGTACTTAGTACAGTGCCTGGCGTGTCATAGGTGCCTAATTAATATTTATTGGATTGAATTGGGCTTTTGTCTCCCCCTCCACATCACCAGAGTTAATGGACCAGCAAAAGATAATGCATCTAACACACACACACACACACACACACACACACACACACACACGGATAGACACAGATACTGTTACTGCATATAATGTTCTCATTCTGCTCACTTTTTACTTTGCCTCGGTCTAGGTTCTTTCCCTTTTTCTTTGATCTCCTAGGTATATAGACTTGGTAGTGGTATTACTTGATCAAAGGGCATGCACAGTTTTATAGCTTTGGGGGCATAGCTCCTAATTGTTTTCCACTATGGTTAGACAAGGTGACAATTCCACCATCAGTGGATTAGTGTAACAGCAATATTGCAATGATGATTACAATTATGTGAAAGACTTAGCTACTCTGATAAATACAATGATCCAAGACAGTTCCAAAGGACCCAGGATGAAAAATACTATCGACCTCCAGAGAGAGAGAACTAATGAACTCTGTAGATCAAAGCAACCTTTTTTCACTTCTTAATTTTTTTCACAAGAATGCTTGAAAGTCATCTATTTCATTAAATCTTTTCCTTAGAAGGATTATACCCTGCCTTGCTGGGTAGCTTATTCTTGGTGATAATCCTAGCTCCTTGGCATTTCAGATTATCAGATTCCAAGCCCTCTATTCCTTTAACATGGAAGCTGCTAAACCTTATTTGATCCTGACTGGGGCTTCATGGTATTTGAATACTTAATGTTTGCAATTTTTTCTTCTTGACCTGGGAGCTTTTGATTTGAGTACACCATTCCTCAGGAGTTTTCATTTTGGGATCTCTTTCATGAAATGATTCATGGATTCTTGCAATTTTTAGTTTATCCTCTTATTCTAAGACATATGGACAGTTTTTTTTTTCTTGATAATTTCTTGAAATATAATGTTTAGGCTCTTTTTTCAACAAGGCTTTCAGGTAGTCCAATATTTCATAAATTATATCTCTTTGATCTATTTTCCATGTCAGTTATTATTCCAATGAGATATTTCACATTTTCTTCTAATTTTTTATTCTTTTGACTTTTTTATTGTTTCTTGTGTCTCATGGAGTCATTAGCTTCCACTTGCCCAATTCCATTTTTTAAGGTATTATTTTCTTTTTTTGTTTGTTTTTTTTAGTGGTTTTTTTTTTTGGCTAGGCAATGGGGTTAGGTGACTTGCCCAGGGTCACACAGATAGTAAGTGTTATGTGTCTGAGGCTGGATTTGAACTAAGGTCCTCCTGAATCCAGGGACTGTGCTCTATCCACTGCACCACCTAACTTCCCCAAGGCATTATTTTCTTCAGTGAGCTTTTGTACCTCCTTTTCTTTGGCCAATTCTGCTTTTTAAGGAGTTCTTTTCATTAGTGAAGTTTTGGAGCTTAAAAAAACCTCTTTTTTCCCTTTGACTGATTCTGCTTTTTTTTTTAAGGAGCTCTTTTTTTCAGTATTTTTGTGCCTCTTTTACAGAACTATTTTTTTTTCTTGTGTTGCTCTCATTTCTTTTCCCAATTTTTGCTCTACCACTGTTATTTGATTTTCAAAATCACCTTCTAGCTTTTCCAGGAATCCTTGTTGGGCCTGTGTCCAATTTACATTTTTCCTGTGGGGCTTTGCTTAAAAGCTGTTTTCATATCCTTGTCAATTTTGAAGATTTTTTTTTTTTTTGCTTCCCTGTCACCATAGTAGCTTTTCATATTCAGGTTCTTTTTTGTTGTTGTTTGCTCATTTTTCCAGTCTGTTTCTTGAATTTGAACTTTATGTTAAAGCTGGGCTTTGCTCATTTGGATGGAGAGAGGGTGCCACTACTCCTAGCTTTAGGCTTTTTCATGCTATTGTTTTCAGAACTGTTTCTGAGGTTTTGAAAATTTTCAGTGCTTCCAAGGTATGGTGATTCCAGGAGAGGTTTGATCTCTGCTTTCCTCTTCTATGCTCTATTTCTTATCTGGGAAAAGCCTCTGATCCCTTACAAGGAAGAGCACTACTGCTTCTCATGGCCCCTAATCCCTTGTGAT